AAACAATAAGATTTGGATAGAAATTGCAACTACGCTGTTGACGAATAACATATGAGGAGAACTAGTATCTTTCTTTCCTTTCCCCAACCTCCTGTCCTTATTAATTACTTGTGCTGCCAAGTATGGGGTGACAAAGGGTGAATGCTGTAGCAATAGTACTGATAATAAAATGCTGTAGCAATAGTGTGATATTATTTGCAATCACATAACCTATATTGTATGTGGGATGAGGACTTAAGATGATGGTGTATGATGTTATTAGAACATGGATGCCAATAAAGATGAGCAACTTTTGTTGCCATAATAGTTAATATTCAATAGTCTTATTTATCCATTACAGAAATTAAAGCAATATCGAATCTATAACTTAAAATGCATATTTAAGAAAGCATTATTAATGGTGCGTGGGAGAGAGATGGGATTTTCAGGATTAAGTTTTGGGTTTGGAGAAGACTTGGACTTTCCTAAGGTAAGTTTGTTGTCCCTGAGGTCATTTGCATCTTAACTAATGGGGAAGTTTGAGACTTGTGAGAAAGGCCCTAAGTTGGCATGAGACTCGAGAGTTCAATTTCTGTGGACACAAAGGGATGTAAACTGTTGGCTGATGCTCTAGCCAAACAAGGGGTCAACAGGGTTGTGTTTTGGGGAACTTTATATAAATGGGATTGATAGCTGACGCGTTAGAGATGCTTGGGGTGCTCAACACTTCCCAATGTAAATTACATTTTTTCAATGAATAAACCAGTTACCAATTGGAAATAATCAAGGGAAAGGTAGCAAATAAGTTTCGGGATTTCAGCAAGCAAGTATTTCAAGAAATTAAGAAAGATTCAAAGAGATTCAAGAATATAGTGAGATATGATATGATGTCCAACAAGAATGGAATGTATCAAGAAAAGAAGTAAGAATTTAATCAAGAATATAATTCAAATATTATTTTCTAAATCAATCACTCTTCTAAGATTTATCAATAGAAGATAGGGTTGGCCACCCTTTAAGAATAATGATGCAGCTGCAACTTTTTTTTTTGAATAAGGTAATGAAAGGTATATGAAGGGAATATTACTTAAACTTTCCCTATACTTCTGAAATGGGCTGAAACTTCCCCTGCATTTTAGAAATAGGCTGACATCCCCTATCATATGTCTTTTTTTTTGGGGGGGGGTGAATGAACTTCTTTCCATCAGATATCAGCTTTATGAACTGAGCGTCACATGACTTCACAATTTTTCATAAATCCAAAGTAACCTATCTATGCAAATTTAGATATTATCGAGACCAAGATGTCATTATTTCACCTGTAAGAGTTAATAGTAAACATCATTTCTCTCCTCTTTTGGTTGAGGTCTATGTTGTTAGACTTGGACTGGATATGGTGCCTGGGTCGCAAGTTGAACTGTTTGACTATTTGGTTCAACCATTTTGGCTTGTCCAAATAAAAAATGCAAAAAAAAAAAAGAAAACAAAAAAAAAGAAATGATTCCAGACTATCCTTTTAAAATTATTTTACATCAAGATAAGTTTAAAACAATAAATAATAGAGGGTATAACAACTAAAAATACATATATAAGGAGCAAGCAATATTTTAAAACATGGAAGCATGACACAAGGCATTCCACTACCTGGAGGTGTGAGGCATAGTTCAAGGAGGGGATCTCATCTTTCTTTTTTTTCTTCTTTTTGTGAATGTTGTTTTATATTAAGAAGAATGAAGATGCATAATACTAGATGAAATTACTCCAGGCTTTACTTTTCTGTCTGTTCTCTTTGTTTTTTTTTTTTGTTTTTTTGATAAGCAAATAAACTTTTTTAATTCATCAGTTATTGATTAAGGTACAGGATTTTTATGGTTTCAGCAATGTAATGACCCATAATACAACAGTTTACAGTTTACCCAGAATCAAGTAAGTCTATCTTCTCCTTTTTCGGCCAGGACATCTGCCAATCCCTTTGCTTCCTTTTTTTTTGTTTTGATAAATGAGTAAGATTTTATTAATCCAGCAAATAAGAGTTATAGGCAACCCAAGGAAAGGCACGAGATGCAACATCTCTGAAGGTGAACCTAAGCTTCTAAGCTTCTAAGCTTCTAAGCTTCTAAGCTGCTGATTTGATTTGCTTTGCCTAAGATATGACCAGGAGTGAATCTCTTTTGATTTCTGTGTCTGTTCTCTTTTTTCCTTCTTTTTCATTTTCTTTCCCTTCCCTTCCCTTTCTTTTTTCTTTTTTTTTTCTTTCCTTTCGTTTTTGCCTTTTTGCATGATACRTATGCCTCATGCCGCATACAAAAGGCATATGCCTCRGAGGCATCAATGCCTTTGGTATCTTCAAGGTTCAAAGTATCAATATGATAAGCTCTGTATTAGGCGTATTGTATTGTATCTTTTGGTCACTGATATACCTGTTTACAGGTGTTTTTGGGAACCCATTTTTTTAAATAATATATGTTTAAAGCTGAAAGTTGAAAAAAAACTAAAAAAGAAAATTAAAAGGAGTACCGTTTGAAGTATTTATACACCACAGTTGATACACAAGGTGTACTTTGAACCTTTGGTATATGCATCAGTTGTTTGGGGGTGCCTCACCTGGAGGCATGCCTCCAGGGCTATGCCTCCAACACCTTTTTAAAATGCTGGGACCAAGCAACCAAAAAAACATTGGTTAAGGCTTCCTTCTTGGACATGTTGGTCAAAAGATTTCTTTTGGTGAGTTTGTTACATTATAGTAAGGTTCAGTTTTAAAAGGTGTGGGAGGCATATGCCTGGAGTCATGCCTCTAGGTAAGGTGCCCCGTAAATGCCATAAGGCATATGCCTCATGGATGAGAGGTGCCCCCAGAATTTCATAAGACAGATGTCGGAAGTGGAGATGCATTTGAGGCTTATGCCTCAGGTCCATGAGGTGCACACCTCATACACCTCTTGCATGAGGTGTGCTAGAGGTGTACGCCTCGTGTGCCTCACACTTCATCCTTTGGTTCTCTCTCTATTTGCTCTGGGCACCCATCTTTCGGTCCCAAGTTCCTTTCCCCAACCACCTTTTTGGTGACAAAAAAGCCTTCATTTATTTGTTTTTTTGGTAAAACATTAAACAATGCCATTATCTAAAACATTCTCCTTGCTAGAATTGCCAGGAAAGAATGGTTTTGTCTCAAAGAAAGGTGACATCCAAGCAAAAGTGCCCCTGTTGATGTGCATAACACAATTTTTTAAAATGTGGAGGCATGATGCCTAGTTAGCAGAAGAGGCATAAGCCTTCTGAGCACAAAGAGGTTTAAGTGTGTTGTTTAGATGTTTTATATTTTTCTGTTTTGGTCTTATGTGGTCAGTAAATACATAGTGCAGTATGATTAGTTTTGGGGGTCTGTACATGGGCATTTAGATTATACTATAATAAACAAACTTGGAAGATTTTCATCCTATGCATTATGTTAATGTATAATGGGGAACATGATAAAATGGTCGCCCCACCTTGATCTATTATAAAAAGTGGCTTAAATGCAAATATAAGAGGCGTGTAAAGCACAATAGAGGAGGCATAATCCTTTAGGCTGCGCCTCCAGGCATTATCCTAGTGTCTTGACTGGAGGTACACATAAACCTCTTGTATAAAGCATAATAGAGGCATATGCCTCCTACGCCTCTGAGGTGGAAATGCATGCCTCAAAGCATTTTCTTGGCTTCTGCCTGTAGGCATGCCTTGAATGCTTTTTAAAACACCAGTGTAGCAAAGGAAATTACACTCAATAGCTCTTGGTTCAGACTTTGTTCTTATGACATGTACAAACAAACACGCTTAGTGGAATAGGGCTGAAAGGAGATTTGTAAGCAACCAGCCAAGTTGGCTTACAGTTTATCAAATGGATAGTTATATGAACCACATCCCCCCAAAAATCGAATGGCAATATGGCTGCTAAAGAAATACTCCTTGAGACTCCAAGTATTCGCCTATTCTTCCTCAGTCACTCCATCTGTTGAGGAGTATAGGCAGCAGAGCTTTATGGATGACCTTGTGCTCTTAACAACTAGCCACCCCATTCTCGACTGGTGTGCACCCTTCATTGCTAATAACATTACAAAAGTACCCTGTTCGCCAATAACATTAACAGCAATAAAACAATAATTAATAGCTGTGCAATTGTGGGTCAGCACATTTCTAATATCTCAATAATAGTAGTTCTCATGTATGGTTTGCTATGTTTATAAGCTATAGTTGCATTAATAGACAACTAGTTTACTTAACCTAGTGACCTTTGTTGGTTTTTATGTTTATATAGATAAAAGGAATGGCAAAACAGGATTCATGTAACCAAACCAATATAGTTGGGACAAGACTTAGATGATGCTGATGTTTATATAGTTTATTTAACATATTATGATCATATAGTTTACCTAGCTTGTAATACTTAGAATTGAGTTGTGACTTGATGATGGTCTCTCTGCTCGTCTTCATGGATGTGACCCAGGTTTGAGCAAGAATAACCCTGACTGGGTGAAAACCAGGCAGTTCGTTGAAAGCCAGTCAAGTTGCTGAAACCCACCCGGTTTAATAACAGTGTTCTAGTTCTGGAGAAAACAAATATTATAACCAAGATTAGAAAACCATAAAACTTCTGGTCCATGGTCCAATTGGTCTAACTATCACCTTATTTGGGTCTGAAAAAATTGAATTTCTGATCTTCTACCTTCTCCTAAATGTACCAAAAGTGTATCTAGAACCCAAGGAACCAACTCAAACAACTCAGGCATTTTGCAATGATGATGGTTTTATAGAACAAAAACTAGTTTCCCTCGAGAAGATTACCTTATTTATTATTCGCAACTTGTAGCATGAGTAAATTCTGAGATGTTTGTTTATTGATCAAGAAAAGAAATACTGAGATGTTAGTGTTGAGCATTGGGATGAAGTGCTATTGAGCTCAGTTGTGTGTGATTTTACAATATTAGTATCCTGGATGCAACTTCCGTTATGTGATTTGTGGGTTGTGTTGACATTTTCTACAGCCTTATCTTCATGAATCTCGGCACCAACATGCTATGAGAAGGGCAAGGGGTTGCGGAGGTCGTTTTCTTAACACAAAGAAGCTTAATGAAAATTCTGCTAATGCCACAACTGAGAAGGGCACAGGTTCCTCTGCAGCTGCCTCTTCACAATCAGCAAGCTCCTCAGGCTCTGAACCCTTGCCTTCCAACTCTATCGCAAATGCAGATTCCTCCAATAATCAGCAAGAAAATGGGCCCTCAGCTCAGGATCCTATGCAGCAACCACAGACGTATTCCAATGGCAACAGCTGCTACCAACATAACCAAGCCTTCCCTTTGTCGAAATTTCATTCCATGTCAGAGGAGAGAGGTGAGGAAGGAGACTGCTCAGGGCATCCGAGGGGAAACATCCCAGTGAATCGGGCCCCAAATAGGGCCCTCACCATCCAGTAAGAGCCCCATGCATTGGGTTGAAGGGTCTCCAGTGTTGCTTAGTTGGTCCTATTCATGCCATCTCTGTAACTCAGTCTACTGGTGCTCTGCCATGCATTATTGTGTACCTGTCATGTTTCAGGGAAGAGCTAATAGAAAGCAACGCTGGAGGTTTGAGGCCCCCATCTAACCAGGGAGGGATGGTGTTTCTCAGGCAATTCATTCTTGGCTTGCATTTTTGCTTTTGTCTAGGGGGGGAAAGCAGTGACGATGTAGGTGGTGGTGGTCTCTGTGACTTCTCTGCCGGCATACTTGCGTTTTCCCCCTCTAATCTCATGTACAAAGAAAGTTACGCAGTAGAAGTAAATGTGAAGGATGAAAACAAACTAAGACCTCTCTTTTTTATTTTTCCTTATTTTCTATTTGCCATGTGATCTGGAGATTTCAGACAATCAAACATCATGCAGGTTTGTAAAGGCATCTTTCTTTAAGAGAGAAACCTTCTCCCTAATCTCTTTTGTTTTTCTTTATTGGGTAGTGCTTTTCTATTGCATTACATCTCTCCAAATAAATGCTGAACAGTTGCAGGCTTGTCCTTTTCGTACATGTGCGGATTTGTATATGTATGTACAGAAATATGTACACAAACTATAGCAGAATAGCTGTTGTGGGTCTGTCTTCTTCCTTCTATGCGGTTTTTGTATGACACAGCAATGGTGCGTCGTCAGAGTTCTCTTGGCATTGGGTACCTGCCAAATATGGTTCGATTGATCCTGTGATACTTGTCAATCAACTCGAAAGACGACCGACCCCACCTCTGTTCGGTACCTCGTTGTCATGCTTTTGTTGGTGGTCGTGAAAGGGATATATAGATGAAACTGTAAAATCTCTCTCCTGGAATGGGAATTTGATTGGTTGGTACTTGGTACCTTGGTACGGAAAGTGAAAGTGAAAGGTGAAGGTGGTTAAAACGCTGAGAGACTGGTGTCCAGGCCTGTGGCCCATGTTCTGGTCTTCAGAGAAAGCAGGGAGGGATCCACTGAAGCTGAAAAGGATTTCTCAGTATCCCACTTGCCTGATGGCTGATGCCTCTCGTTCAGGTTCAGGTTCCCTCTATATCTGAACCCACTAGTTCTGAAAGGGCTGAGGATCAATTCAACTTGTAGTTCCTGTATTTGTAGCACAATTTCCAACTTCACACTGATTACCAGGAAGCATTATTCCCATTAAAGAAATAGAAAATTAACAAGTGGGAGGAAAATACAAAGCTGCATGAATCTTCTCTTATATCATGCACCGCAATTAGCGATCGAAATTGGACGACTGGGTCTAACCTCAGCCAAGATAAACGGCTCTAGCTATAGGGATAGGATACTCGTATAGCCGGCTCCACCACTACAAGGAAATGATCGTCTTTGTATTACTCTTAGTGTCTAAGTTCCGAGGGCGCTGCTGCTATACCTACACTGCTGGTGTAGTAGTTCTATGCCTATGCGGCGGATGAGGTGGTTGAAGGAGGTATCGTATGGCCCTACTGCCCTAGATCTGGGAGCTATTGCAGAACTGTAGTTGTTCCTTTGCACACCCCCACTGCCTTTTYGACTCTTGACCTGATTTTGCAGGTTCAAGGAAACTCTCTTAAATGGTAGTATGGTACATCACATGGTTGATGGTGCCAAACAAAGCTCCTAGCCAACTACTGACCACCGACATTGAACCTGTCCATAACCTGATGTCATTGTTTCATTAATTTATGGCGTCCTCTTAGTTTAACCCCCCACCCCACAAAGGCAGAAACCGAGAAACTCCCTTCCGTGGGAATCAAGTTCTAGTTTATTAGGTGGAGCTGATTAATCTGCAGTGGGCTCAATCACAGTCGAACTTTTCATTTCTTTTTCTTTATTAATTGCTCGTTCAAGATCAAACCTTTGCTTTAAGGTCAACTCAATTTTTTTTTTTTTTTGTTATTATTAAAACACCCACTTGATACAAGATTTAAGTATGCAGCTCCATCAGCCTCACCAACCGTATTTGCGAAACAAAACTCTCAATCTCAGAGCATGAATTCTCTGTCAGTGATGGGTAAAAACGAATGTGGGGAATCCAGATCCATTCATCATCATCATCAATCAGCACAAGAGCATATTAATATTGGAACTTTTAAATTTTATTGGACTATGGTAATGGAGCAATATCTCCAATTCCCCATTTTTATGTTAAAGTCCAAAACTGGCACTCCACTGTTAGTGTTAATTAGTTCAAGAGGTCAATTTGCTAAGTATCATGAAGCTGTTTTAATCCCATATTGTGCATCCACAAATGGGTTGATGGCATACATGTTCAGCCCTCTTGTCCGGCCTGGGGCCCCTCCTTTGAGGGAAGACACATCAAGCACAAACCTGTTCAAACACAAATAGACAGAATGAGAATTTGAATGCACATCAGAGTCAGTCTATCGGTGGCATAGTATATATGCTTACCAATTTTTTGATGCTTTTCCTAGTTCAGATGCTTCGCATTGTATCAGGACCTTCTGATCCATTTCTGATATTGATTGGCCCAAGGGGACACCTACAGTCTTTGGAGCTGGATAAAGTTTTCAGTGCCTCAGTAATTAATTGTTTAGAGGAAGCATGTGGGAGTGAGCAAACAGGTAAACAAGGAAACAATAATCTCATGTGACCTCCTAAGCAGCCAAGGGTACTTACATGATTGATGAGTGGCCTCCATGCTCACATCTAGGCCCAATATTTTCTACATCAAAGATTACCTTTAGTTATCAGACCAAAGTGCTTGGAAGCCAAAAGGACTCCCCCAACTGGTCAGCTTGACCATATTGAAGTTGAAGCCTAAATTGATGGGTTCATAAATTTACGAAAGAAGCAACAAACACCTTAATATTCTTGTAGCACCTTTCGAGGTCATCGTTTACCAAGATATGATCAAAAAGTCCTGAAGATCTTCCTTGTTCAAGCTCTGCTCTTGCATTTTTGAGTCGTTTTTGGACCTGCTCTTCCGTTTCAGTTCCCCTATAAAAAAACAAGAATTTAATTAGACTAGCTAAGAGATTAGTAAAAAACTTAATCTCTTGGGCTTCCAGCATCTGACTCACCGTGCACGGAGCCGCTTCTCAAGCTCCTCAAATGAGGGTGGGCATATAAAGATGAAAATTGCATCAAGAGAACTTGCCCTTACAGACCTGGCACCTTGAACATCTATGTCGAGTATGCACCTCTACAATAGAACCGAAGACATATCAAACATAGATCATCATCTATGCCTTATCCCAACTATATAAAGATATCAAATATAGATATATACCATTTTAATCTTAGCATATCATGGTACATAAAGGAGAGCTGAAAGTTCTGTTCGTGTGTGTTCATCCTGTGTGTGCGCTTAATGATGCAGGTTGGCCTTAAAGCTAAGTGTTAATCTAAGCGGAAGTGGGCCATTCCAATACAAAGTTGGCTCTAGGTTATGATCCAAGTCCACACTATCCTAAAATTCCAAATTAAGACTCATGTTGATTGTTAGGTTTCAGTTATAGCATATCTAAGGCATATAAAATATTCCAAACTATGAATACCAAAGCCATAAGCCCATGACTTCTATATTCTCCTACAACAGGAAATAATATACATGATGAGTTTTTAAAGAAACGAAATATTCTTTTTTTTTTACCTTTCCTGCATCTGCTACAACCTCAACAGCTTCAATACTTGTTCCATAAAGATTCCCATGGACAGATGCAGATTCTAGGAATTTTCCATCACGTATGTCCTTTTCCATGATGCTTCTCTCAGTGAAATGATAATGGACTCCATCCTTTTCTTTGTCCCTTGGAGCTCGGGTTGTGTGGCTCACAGAGAACCCAAACATGGATGGGAAATCCTTCATCAGCTTGTTTATCAATGTGCCCTTCCCAACTCCAGAGGGACCACTGATTACTATTGGCTTGGGAGCATCACTTCTAACCCCTTTACTCCAAGCAACCACCTCAGTGCCCAAGATCCTTTTCTGCTCTCTAACATATGAGGTGTCCACCTACCAGCAATACAACAAAGATTAACACTTAAGGCTGGTGGGTCACAAAGATTAGATGACCTTACATTTAAATGAAAGCAGCAGGATACCAACTAGATGATATCTGAAATTTTTAGATGGATGGATCTGTGACAAACTTAGGACACCAACCTCAAGAAACCAGGCACAGTCTTCTGGGGTGGAGTCCCTCTTAAGAATCAATATTCTCTCATTATTTAGAAGAACCGCTGAGTGACTCTTGGATGGAATGGGTTTTGTGCCTAATACTGTTGGAACACTCCTGCAAATTTTACCATAAATCTGTAATCCCAACTCAGGTCAAAACTCAACACCATTTATGCCAGGACCAAGAACTCACCATCTCCCGGTTGATTTGTCGAAAGCCCGGACGTCAAACGAAGAAGTTGATACATCAGCAGTTCCCCCAATCACAAACTGAACAAATCACGGGCACTTTTAACATGACTGGCATGGATTTTTCATCAAGAACAAAAGACAGAGAAGATGTGCAGAAAGAAGATCTAATTTGCAACTCAGATTTGTTGCTTACAATCTTTTCTCCTACGATGGTAGATGTCTGGTAGCCTCTGGCTTCTGAATCAAGACCAACGGCAAAATGTTGTTTAACGTCGTCTGTGAAGATCTCCTGAGCTTCACCCTGATTACCAAAACCCAGATAATCAATACCCACTACTTGCATACCCCATTACAACAAACTCAAAGATCAGTTTTCTACGAAAAGAAAACCATGGCCAGGTATCATATTTGTTCCAAAGTTGCAGTTTTCATCTACTTTGTCACATATTCGTAAATGCCAAAAGAAGGTAACCACAGAAAATTCAAAAATAAAAATAAAAACAAAAAATAATCTCACCATGGAAAATCTAGCTCTCTAATTCAAGCTTCAACCTGAACCAGAAGCATAAGAGAAATAGCAGAAGATCAGAAACAGAAATACCATTTTTTCACCTGGATCTGTCGCAAGTTGTATGGGAGGGAAGGATACATAAACAAATAGAGAAATAGAAAAGAGCATCCATTGAAGGACTAAAACCCATCAAATGAACATAAAACAAAAAAACCGAAACAACCTAATTAACTGAAAACCAAAAGGAAAATCGGAACCCAGATGCCCATACATAATACAAGTCAAGAAAATGCAGTCCTACAAAAAAAAGGCCAAGGAAAATAAACAGCGAACTTTCGAAACAGAGAATAACGTCAAACAAATACAAACATAGAGTTCCTGGATTTCTCAAAACCAAAGAAAAAAAAAATCAGAAAAGCAAAGGAAGTACCTACTTACCAGGGAGAGAGAATTAAATCCCACTTCAAGCTGGTTGGGATCCTTGGGTTTTATGATATTGTAGAGCTAAAAATCAATACAGTATCTCCTATAAAACAATAACCAAAAAAATCGATAAAACCAAGACCAACCACCTGGTCTCTCAAAAACTTCGCTAAAATTAACAAACTTCTTCTTCTCTCTCGAGAGGTCAGCTGATATTTAATGGGTCAATCAAGCCTGACACAGAAAAACCGGAGCTCTCTCGATTTCGGTATCTGGGTTTCAATTTTCAAACTGGTAACGAAATTCGGAGAATGAATGGAGAAGACTAGAAATCTAGAATGAGTTTGAAGAAACCCGGAATGCATTCATGACGTATATATAGTGGGAGAGAGAGAGAATTCAAGAATCAAGCCCCTGGCCCCTCTCTGGCCCTCCTCCCTCAGTCCCTCTTGCAAAACCGGACTTTGTTAGCCGGTGTTTTAGGAAACTTCCTTTTGGATCTCCTCAACGGTTCAAGTTCAACCTATTTATCAAAAAAAACAATTCGGCCAAGGTGAACAGATTTAAATTTTAAACATTTAAATAAATAAATAATAAACTTTTAATTTTTTAAAACATGAATGTGGTGACGGTGCAAGGTGGTTGGTATTATAAATGTCATAAATCTATAAAAGTATATGTTTTTAATAGTGTTTAAAATTTTAAGGGTCATTTACTAAAGCACCCTTAATTTTATAGATTTATTAAAACCTATCCTATAATTTGTAATGATTTACTTAATTGATTTTGTTTCTAACATTTATTCAAATAAATTTGATCAAAAGTGAATATAAATGAAACTGCCAATTGTGCCCTAATAAGACACAAGGAACCACTTTATTCAGTTTTATTTGGTCAATTTTATTTTTTTTACAGAAAAATGTTAGGGGTATTTTTGGAATAAACAACCATAAATAAGGCCTATGCCCTTGAATATTTTTCTCTCGGTTTAGGTGATCAGGTTACTATTTTTAGATGCCAAAACAAACAATTGTTAGTTAAAGGTAAATTAAATAAATAGGTTGCAAACTATAAGGGGTGTCATAGTACTTTTGATTAATATAAAAAAAGGATTGGGGAGTGGAGATTGGTCAGCCTCGAAGGTCTGAGGAGGAGTTGATTGGGGAAGCTTGAAAAATGGTTGAACCCCTAAAGAGACTGTACTATGTACTCTCTAGAGAGGGATTAAGCCATTGTAGTTCCTACAATAAATCTAAAGTCTAAAAGGAAGAGAGGTTGTGCCCTATTGTCAGCAGCGCTCCCCTTTGATTTAGGGATATTTTTTTCTACTCTGATTTATTGTTTGGTGTCCCGAGTTGATCTTTGAATTGAATGACTGGGGTGGTTTAAACCAGATCTATGGAGGTCTATTCTCTTATACAATCCATTATTACAAAATGCAACTTCTTTCTTTTTTGAATGTGTATATGGGTCAGGCCCTTCATAACTTTGTGACCAGCCCCATATTTACAAAATTAGGGCCCTAACATTAATTGGTTCAAATGTCCAATTTGGAGAAAATTCATCCAAACCCAAACTGACATCCAAGTGGGAAATGGATTTGATTTCGAATTTGTGGGTATGGATAATCATCAGATCTATTAATGGCATGGATTCATACCTAATCCTTTATGCATTCGGGTTCAATTCTAAAGCAAGATACATGTATGATGGATCCATATCAATCTCAAATCCATGTTGTTAGATTCAATTCAAAACCTGGACTTTTAATGATCCAAACCCCTTAAATATAGGTATAGATAGGGCTGCCAATAGGTCGGGTTTGAGTCGGGACAAGGTGTTTCAGTCCCAATCTGATTATAAATAAAGAAAAAATCATAGAGCCAGAACCATCCTAATTAAATAATTAGGATATTCAGGTCTGACCCAATAGACCAGATTATGCTAGGGATGTCAATTTTCCTTGTTCCCATTGGGTAGCCGGTTTCCCTGACCCCTCCAGGTTAGGAATGGAGATTGTCTTGGCCGGGATGGGTGCGAGGATAAGGATTGATAGTGAAACTAGACCAGGGACGAGAACGAGGGTGGGGAGTTAATTCCCCACCCTTTGTCGACCATGACTGTATATATTAAATATATACATTTATAATATTATTTATATTATATATCAAAATATATTTAAAACATTTTTATATTTTGAAAAATTCCTTTACTTTAAACAAATCTATTTTCTAAAAAATTTTTAATTTAAAAATTTTGGAGATTCAGGTCCCCAACAGAAATCCATCAACATCAAGGATCGAGATGGGGAGTATGGTCCCCTCCCCAAACCCCTATTGCCATTCCTAGATTATATTGACAGCTATAATTATTTATACAAATAATAACTTAAAACATTATTTTTGATAATATAACATTAATTAAAATGACAATAAAATAATAAATTATACATAGTATTAAATCAAGTGGTTTTAACTAAAATTATCTTATACGATCTATATGATTTATCATTTAATACATAAAATATAATAAACATTATAAAAAAATAAAAATCATTTATATATTATTAAAAAAATCAGTTCAGATCTGCCAAACCCGACCGAGTTGATAATCGGTTCAGTTCGATCAAATGGATAAAACCCACCCATTGACAACCCTAGGTTAGATCAAGGTCAGATTTCAGGTTGGCCCTCTTCATTTCAGTGGCTTTGCTAAAAATCAACACAATAGATGGTCTCTGACATCTAGTTTCCGACCTAAGATGCAGAGCATCTTTTCTAACTTCAAGAGAATTTACACTGATTCTGGAAACATGGGACTAGTGGGAACTTACGGTGTATTGGACCCATCTACAAAACTTGTCTTCATGGGCCAAGGTTTTTAGCTTTTCAGATATTTCACCACATGATCTGGATTTCTTGATACCCATGACCGTTTGAAATTTGGATCACCAGGTGAATAGTTATAGCTCACCAAAGTCCTGTGCACTGGCTTTGTCGAATCCAGCCCAACCCGTCTCATATAGAACACACTTTGTACTCAATCAAACGTATGCATACAAAGATTTCAAATTCTTCAATGTCAACAAGTTTGGTTAAGCATGGGTTAACCTCAACTCAAAACCAACCTTAAATTGGATCAGTGAGGATCCACCATTTAACCCGACTCACTTACATCCCTAAACCACCACCAAGTAACTCTTTGTTGTTGTTGTTGTTTTACGTTGTGTTGGGTTTTGAAAGAAAATAATAGAAAAACAAAAAGTTATGGTTAAGTTATTTACGAATTTTGTGAAAGTTCTCTCCCAACTTTCTATTTTTCTATTGTTTTCTATCAAATCAAGCATATCTATATTACTATTTTTGACATTGAATTTCTACATTTCTCTTTATTTAATTCTTTCTTGTTGCTGAAAAGAAAATCTCTTGTAAAGTCTTATGTTCAGAGTATTAATTCCCATTCTTTCGAGATCAAATTGCCCCACATGAACATCTTAGCGTGCATGAGGAACATCTCCTTTACTTGTCATTGGGAGATGTTCCCGATACATGGTTCTGATGGGCTGTGGGGCACTTGTGGGGTGCCGATGCAAATTCCGTTCTTTAATTAAATCCTATATTAATTAACCATATTAAAGAAAAATAAGTATGATAAATAATAATTCGTTTTATTAATGATAGAAATAAAATACAAATTAAAAACCAACCAAAAAATGGATTGCTTAGTGGCAAGTCAACAATTAAACAATTTGGAYCAATGTGCCAACCCTAGATGCTATAATTAAATAATAATAAAAATTAAAAAATAAAACACACAAAAGTATAAAAGGTACAAAATACTATTTTTATAAAACATTTGGATCTGTCTCTAATATCGTATATTCATCATATTAAACAAAAATAAGAATAATTTTTATAAATATATAAATATAAAAAAGTTAAAATTGTAGAAAATTTTGAAAATATATTATTTAATATCATCATCATCATCATAAAAAATTGGCACATGCAAAACACATGCATACTTACTAATAGCCTTAAATGATTTCTTTAAAAGTTTAAAAGCAACTCATTAACTCCTTTCAAATAGGGCCTAAGTTGATAAATGCCATTATAAAGAGTGGGGTAGAGCGAGGTGCATGTGAGGTCCATTGGTTTTATAAGTTTAAACCTACACCTATTGAGAGAGGTGCCAACTGGTTGGTTGGTAAGGCCTTGTGCTGGTTGTAGCGAAGGCTTGGGATTGAATCCCGCATGGACTAGGGTTGGGGGCTCGATTCGGCTTTATTACTACTTATGTCCCTTACGACTAGTGGGAGGCCCATGGATAAGTTGCATCAGTCAGAGTCATTGTTCATAAGGGCATTTTAACTGCAAAAGGGAGATAAATCCTTAAAATAAGGAACGCCAAATGCAACATTAGTTTTTTTTTTTTCAAAAATTAACACAGGGACAGTCTAAGCAAGGCATACACTTGAAAAATATTAAAAACACAAAATATTTCGTATTTAGCATATTAGGGTGGGGCCGATATAATTTACTATTGATACACCCTAATACGTTGCAAAATTTTGAACCTTGGTCTTTAATTCTTGCTGAGATATAATCCTTTTTTGTTGTTGAAAGGGAATTGTCTTAGGGATTCAAATAAAAAAAAATGCTAAGCAGTTTTTCTAAACCGTAGGATATATAGTGCCTGTTTCTTGAATTCATTAAAGCAAGGTTCAGATTTTCCGAACTAAAATGGAAGGATTTTCCTAACCATGTGCAAGGAAATCACTTAAGCGTCTGACTCACTAATGTGTTAAGGCTTCTAATGAACAGCTCCTGTAAGATTGGACACTACTGCTCACTCTCAAAGATCTAGAATTGCACAGATGCTCACTGGATTTCTTTGAATTGCGCACATCTCAATTTTTGATAAATGGGGGATCACCCTTAATCAATAGAGAAAAGGTCAAATTTGTATCACCTTCATCCTACTTCAATTCTTTCCTATATAAAGTGTGGATCACATCATCTTGCATCATATCTTTTCTACACAGACAACCATCCTCCTACCTCCATTTACGTTCAGCCCTTTTACACTCTTATACACCAGTACAAATGAAATTTATGTTAGAACCAAACGCAGCCTAAATGACACCAAAATGCTTTCCTGTGGGGGAAGAACTCAAGAAGAAGAAGAGTTCAGTAGGCAGCAGGGGTATGGGTCTCTTATCAGATGTTTGGATTTGTAATCGTCAAAATGGGCCCAATATCATTCTTTCTGTACACTCAGGATTTTGCTACTGACATTTGTGGGTTTGGTAGAAGACGACGTTGAACAAGTTGTATGTAATTTGTTCTTTTTCTTGCTTCAAATAATCCAAGGACAAATGGAAAAAGATTAAGCACATTCATCAAATGTTCTTTTTGGGGCTGATGGCGATGCAGAAACTGTTTTTTCTTAGGCTGTGTTTGGTTCG